CAATGTTCACAAGAACACTTGTACAAAAATGCTCATAGCAGGGCACCTGGGTGGCTCAGATGGTTAAGCATCTGCCTTCAGCTCGGGTTATGATCCCAGGGTCCTGGGATCGAGTCCCGCATCGGGCTCCCTGCTCAGCGGGGAGCCTGCTTCTCCCTCTGCCTCTCTCTGTCTCTTATGAATAAATAAATAAAATCTTTAAAAAAAAAAAAATGCTCATAGCAGCTTTATTCATCATGGCCCAAATGTGAAAAACACTCAGATTTCATCAATAGGAGAATGGACTGTAAGACAGTCATATGCCACTCAGTGGTAAAAAGGAACTAATTATTGGTGCACACAACATGGATGAATCTCAACATAATGCTGAATGAATGAAGTCTTGCCCATAAAGCATATACTTTATAATTCCATCCATATGAAGTTCTAGAACAGGCAAAACTAATCTGTGGTGGTAAAAATTAGAACACTGGTTGCCTGGGGTAGGGGCAAGGTGGGTGAGGATCTACTGGAAGGAAGCATGAGGAAATGTTCTGGAGTGATAGTAATATTCTCCTGTCTTGATAGGGGTTGAGGTTACACAGGTGTCTACATTTGTCCAAACTCAGCAAATGGTAAGCTAAATATCTGTACAGGCCATAGATGTACATACCACTTGAAAGAAAAAAAAATAATTATAAACCAGTACAGAACACTAGTTAATGATATGCACGCTGAAACGTTAGAGATGAAGTATATTGATACATCTGTAACTAATTGCATCAAAAAATTATGATGGGTTGACGGGTGCATGGAAGAATGGATAAATGCACAGTTGGGTGATAAAGCAAATATAATAAAATGTTCATAGTAGAATATATATGTGCAGGCATACAGATATTTTCTATACAATTATTTCAACCTTTCTGCATGTTTGAAATTTATCAAAATAAGATGTTGGGTGGTGAAAGAAAAAAAAAATGGGACTTCAATTATATTTCTTATCATGATGTTTGATCAAAAGGTAATGACAATTGATAAAATAAATGTTAGAGCAACAGGAAAAGAGGGATTTGGCCATAAAATGAGGTTAGTGAACATTTAGTAAGCTCCTGATTCTCTAAGGTGTGCCTGGCTTTTTATGAAAGATATTAGATTTAATAAAAGTGTTAAAACTGTGGATACTGAGGTCAGTATCCATCATTGAAGGGATTTGCAGAAAGAAAATCAGTGTGGGGGTGAGGGAGACTACAAAGAACAAAGGAAATAAAACTGAATTAAAGAGAATAGGGAAAAGCAAATGAATAGAACAAAATGTACATTTTCATTTTGACCGATTTCATAAAAAAGCAAAATGGCCAAGTGTGAACTCTACAGAATCATGGTAGTGATTTTTTGTACACACATTTTCAGGTTCTGAATTAAGAGCTTCAGTGAGATTTTATGTGTTATTTGAATACTTACTATGCAAAATGCGGCAGAAAAACAGGCACATTGATCTTGGTTTTAGTATCTGTCAAAGCAAGTATCTTAAATATGAAATAAATGCAGAGTGGTGGGACGCCTGGGTGGCTCAGTCGGTTAAGCGTCTGCCTTCAGCTCAGGTCATGATCCCAGGGTCCTGGGATCGAGTCCCGCATTGGGCTCCCTGCTCCGCGGGGAGCCTGCTTCTCCCTCTGCCTCTGCCTCTCTCTCTCTCTCTCTCATGAATAAATAAATAAAATCTTAAAAAAAAAAATGCAGAGTGGTGTTGGTAAGGGGTTATATATTCAAGCACAAGCACAACATTTAGTTTTTATAATACAGATTCTTTTAATTCTATAGAGAAGAAAATTACTTGCAATATTGAACCACTACTGTCTGCAGTAGGTAAACATGAAGAATCTTAAATCAGTTGACTTAATCAATTTAGCACATTTCCATGTTTTTTTCAAGGAAATTCAATATCCTGCCATTACAACACCCTTGACTGCAGTCTTGATACACAGTTTGCAATCTTTTAGAAGGTAATATTAGAATTTCACCTACTTAACCTCAATTGAATGTAAGTACTTTAAAAACCTGTTTATTTAAGAATTAAATAATTTGTTTTTCTGGTTATTAAACATTATTAAGCTGTATTTATGAAATAGGATTCTGCAAAAGAATTATTAATCCAGAAAAGTCTTCGACATGACATTCTGAAAAGAGATTTTACTTGCCACTTAAAGCATGAATATCACTTGCCTTCTGCAGTATCGCTGGGGTGGTTTGGTCAGGCATGGTGATACTGAGCTGTAAGGTACCTGGTTTGGCCAGTGGGTGGCTCAGAGGTCCTGTGCGCATGCACATGTGGGCTGACCCAAGGGCATTTCCACCGGATGTGCATTAGCGACAGCCAGGGGAGCAGAGACTTCAAATACTCAGGAGCAGAGCAAATGGCTTCCGCCCTACGCCCCTAAACTTAGAGTCACCCTTAGAATGACTGAGCCACGTAGGATGTACAGGACAAGGAAGTAAGAACCATTAGAAAGGGCTCTGTCATACAGAGAGAGATACAGATATAAAGATATATAGAGAGAGAAGTAGAGGTAGAGATATATAGATACAGATGCTTAGATATCTCACTTGTCACAAACATTTGAATGAAGTAATTACTGTCGTTACCTCTTGCACAGATAAGGAAATTAGATGTCAGAGAAATTAAATAATTTGTCTAATGCCATAAGGTGATCAGGAATGGAAACTGGATTCAAACCCAAGACTACGAAACCCTGCACTTAACTATTACACTATGGAAACAGACCTGAGCCTGAGTGTCCAGGGAGGCTTCCCAGAGGAATAAGACAGGTAATAAGTATTACAGGGATTGGATAAACAGAAAAGGAGAGGCCTTTTTTTTTAAGATTTTATTTATTTGAGAAAGAGAGCACAAGCAGGGTGAGCGGCAGACAGAGGGAGAGGGAGAAGCAGACTCCCCGCTAAGCAAGGAGCCCAACGTGGGGCTTGATCCCAGGACCCCAACGTGGGGCTCGATCCCAGGACCCCGGGATCATGACCTGAGTTGAAGGCAGACGCTTAACCGACTGAGCCGCCCAGGCACCCCGAACACTGGGTATTATATAAGACTGATGAACCACTGACCTCTACCTCTGAAACTAATAATACATTATATGTTAACTAATTGAATTTAAATTAAAAATAAAAAAATAAAATATTATCCTTTCCTTTATAGATTAAAAAAAAAGAGTCGGACGCTTAACTGACTGAGCCACCCAGGTCCCCCCTTTTCTTTTCGTTTTTTTTTGAAAAAATTCTTTTAATAAGGGAGAAGGTACTATAATCCATCTCTGCATATACATGGAAATTAAAGATCAAACCTCCACCACATGCCCTACCCACCACAGGGCCTTTGTACATATTGCTCCTTCTGCCTAGAAAGCAATTCTTTTCCTCATCACCTTGGTTACTGCTACCCATCCATCTGTTCAGTTCAACACTGATCTCCTAAGAGAGCCTTAGCCGACTTCCCCTGCCTTGGTCAAATCCCTCCTTAGTGTATGCATTCACTGAACCAAGCACTTCTCCTTGTTAGGTTTTATTGTACTTACTCACTAATGGGAATAAACGCAAAAAAGAATATATAATTGAATAAACAAATCAACAGAACCCAGGTCTGCCTAGGGCAGTTGCTCCTACATTTTCCACATTAGTACACTATTTATAAAAGGTACAATTGGAAGATCCGAGGCTATTTTACCCAGCAAAGAGAGAATTTACAGGAGAGGATCGGACAGCTGTCTTCAAATGTCTGAAGAACTATCCTGTTGAAGAAAGATTAGACATATTCTGCATAGCTCCAGAGAGCAGAACAAAGACAAATGAGGTGAAAGTCCAGGGAGGCATGTTTCATTAGGGCGTAAGGAAGTCCAATATGTAACAATGAGACCTGTCCAAGTAGGAAGCGGGCTGTCTGTGAGGGAGGTGAGTATTCAAACAAAGGCTGGAGGAACCACCTGTCAGGGCTGCTGTAGTGGAAATTCCTGTTCTGGTAGGCAAGTGTTTAGCCACTTAGGACTTTCTGAGCCTAATGTGCTTTTATACGTCTGGGAGGGACTTGAAAGCAAAACTGAATTTGATCTGTAACTGACCTGAAGGAGAGAGAGTTGCAATGAGTTCTTGTGATGCCTAACCACCATCGGCCCCTTAAGTAATACATCTGCATTTGTGGGTGGCACCGAGGAGGTCTCTGAGAGCCAGCATTCCAAAGACAGTCAGAGCCTGGCAGCTGCCGGTGTGACTAACAGTAGGGAACACGCCAGCGTACAAGGGACTGATCCCAGGGTCACTCCTCCTCCAAGTCGAATATGTTCCTCTTCCTCCTCCACCCCCTCTCCTACTCCCAGTCCACATACACACAAACCCGTTTCTGCAGTGGGAGCTGTCATGTGCTGACCCCAACTACTTCTGGAAGATGTTCTTTTTCCCAGCTTCTCAAGGCTACCTCTTATGCAGAGTGCAGTTTTACAGCAATGTTTCTCTCTCCTCACGCAAACATTCCAAGAATGAAAGAAGTCCTGAGAGAAAAGAAACTAAAAGTCATCTTTTTAACACACCATTTCTATCTTGATTTCACAAAAACAAAGGCCTCAAAAATCATGTGGAGGCCGAAAACTAGGAATCCTGATTTGGAAACTGAGGTCACCAACATTCGGATGGAGGTGAGCTGGCAGATCTCTAATTGTTATTCTCGGCGGGTCCAGGCCTGGACCAACAATGACGGCTTTGCTATAGAGAAATGTTTCTGTCTAATAACCAGTTAAGCAGATTCTGGAATCCAACCCATTTGTGAGCAAATTCAATACACTGTAATGGTGTTAAAAATTTCAGGATAATTTATCATTGATATTTCAAACCACACTATTTTGCTGTCAGATAAGACCTTTGGTAATCCAATCATGAAATATTTATCGAGCACATACTACATGCCAAGCACTATGCTAGGCAGTGGTTAGGGGGAGGGAAACAAAACAGACACGATCTCTGATGTGACAGGGTTTATTACCTAATTTACACAATAAAATAAGAAGCAAACTACAAACTGATAATCTCTATGAAGGGAAAGGGTCAGCAGACTCCTAATACATATTTGAATATGTAGGCTTTCCTGAGGAAGAGACCTTTCACTGAGCAATTAAGAATAAATGAGAATTAACTATGTGAAGGGTCAGGGAAAGGACATTCCTGGCAAAAGGCACATCCCAAAGCTCTGGGGTATGAAAGAATTTGGTTCCTTTAAGACATGGACAGAGAAAGCCAAGATGAGCAAGGGCAAAAAGCCTTGAGAGGACACCGAGGAAGAACGCAGGGCCAGATCCCGTTAGAGCCTCGGCAGCAACTGAAGGTTACTCTAAAGGCATTCAGAAGCCCCACAAGAGGGGAATGAGGCAATTTGTATTTTTAAAACGATTATTCAAAAGGTCAGACATGTGGAGAATGGATTAAGTGAAGGAAAGAATCATGTCTCTTTCTACATAAATTCTCCATTCACAAAAATGACAACTTCCAATTTACAGCCATATTAATGTAGCATCTTTTAGAGTCATTTCTTTTACGTGGTTATAAAAGCCTAACATCCCACACATTTTTTGTTTACTAGGCAACTCTCTCCCAAGGAAACAGACTATTGCTAAATGAATGAAAATTGAGATCTTTTTTATTTGGGCATTATATATTCTAACTCACATTGAGATGAAGACAGATAACTGTCCCCATGCAGAGGAGGGGGTAAAAATAAATGCCTTTTTATGTAATGTCACATTTAGAATTTATCTCTATTTTATAATCAAGGGAAACTATGCACTTCACGGAGGATGCTGGAATAGAAACAGAGCCGGCATTAGACATTCTCTATTCTTGACTACTTCTGTTTTTGTTTCCCGGTACTATTTCTTTCTGTGGTGCATCGTAGGAGTAGGCAGTCGTCCTCTTCATCATGCTCATCAAATTTCAGTGTAGACTTCTAGCAAAAGTGAATAGGTGTAACTGGGTAATTCGATATTTTGGAAAATGTGTTCTTCCCTTACTGCTCTGAGAACAGGATCCTTGGCATAGTGAGTCCATGGTATCCATCAGGAAAGGGGGCTGGAAATTCGTCTATCTGAAAGAAGGAATGCAAAGGCAAAATAGTTTCTGGCATTCAAAATTGGATCATGCAGCAATCCAGGCTATTTTCCAAATACCTAGTCCCTCCCTGCTTCCCAACTAAGCCCAAAGGGTCCATTCTCACGGTTTTGTTAGGTTTGTTAGTTGCTTGTTTTGTTAAGTGAGGTTAATACGAAAGTGGATGCTTCATGGAAGTAGGATATCACATTAGGGGAAGTAAACGAAAGCTTATTCTTTCTTAGTCCCAGGGAATTGTGGAAAGAAGAGAGAAAGAGACCAAGAGAAAAAGAATCCGTCCGTTAAACATGTATTCTGAGGACTTCTTTCAGTGAACTGCATTAAATCCATGATTCTCCAACCTTAATGTGCCTTAAATCAACCTAGAAGATTAGTTAGAACAGTTGCAGGGCTCCACCCCCAGAGTTTCTGATTCAGTAGGTCTGAGGTAGGACTGGAGAATCTGCATTTTTCAGAACTTCCTAGGTAATGGTGAGGCTGCTTCTCCAGAGACCACACTTGGAGAACTGGTGTTGAATAAATGAAAGTAATACCAACGGCATAGGAGTTTGTCCTTGATTTTCATGTAGTGCCTTGGAAAGAGATCACTTCTGTGGCTGACCATTGCTGAAACCTGGTGTGCAGCCAAACCTTTCCAATTCACTCCACATCAGTAGGGACACATAAACCACATCCTCTTCCCATTGAAACAGGGCATCCCTTTACGGAGAGAAACAGGATGGGGGGGGTACCCCAGACACTGACCATTTTTTCCTAGAAAGACATGTTGACCAAGGGACTGTTTAAATTTCCAAATCAAGCTATTCTTAAATCACACTGGACACACGGTCAGGTTTCTTTCGCTTTTATTTCCCTTTCTAAATAGCCATGTCAGGCTTCATAAGGCCATCTGCTTATCCTTTTCCTTTTCCCACTGGCTAGCACGTGGGCCCAGCTGGGATGGTGGTGAGCTATCTTCTGCAGCGTGAATGATAAAAGGCAACATCTTCAAGAATGGCAAAGCCACAAATTAGAAGGAGCCTCGGTCCCAGACACTGGGAAGCCACCTTATTGACCGTGGATTTTACTTGTTTAACTCATTATATGTTGGGCCCACTTGATACCGTAGTCTAACCTGTATCCCAACCAATACAAATGGAAGAGAGGTAGGAGCTGTGTGAGAATACATACATTCATTGCAGCGCAGTGTTTAAATTGTGCAAACGTGGTCCACTCTTTCCACAGTGATTTTTAGTGCTTCGTCCAGGGCTTCAGTTAGATCAGTCCTTCAATGCTTCACTCTTCTTCTCATTTCCAGTTTCCCTCTCCTTTTTTTTTTTTTTTCAAAATTTTACTTATTCGTTTGAGAGAGAGAGGGAGAGGGTGCACACAAGCAGGGGGAGGGGCAGAGGCAGAGGGAGAAGCAGACTCCCCGCTGAGCAGGGAGCTGGATGGGGGACTCGATTCCAGGACCCCAGGATCATGACCTGAGCGCAAGGCAGACACTCAATCGACTGAGTCACCCAAGCATCCAGTTTCCCTCTCCTTCTTGACAGTTCTTTGTCTTTCATCGTTGCATCTACTGAGGTCTAGCAATCTATATAATTTCACCTCATGCTTTATTAGTATTTCTTCTACAGCTTCTTTAAAGTCCTTACAAATGTCTCAGGCATGGGGCGCCTGGGTGGCTCAGTCGGTAAGCGTCTGTCTTCGGCTCAGGTCATGATCCCAGGGTCCTGGGATCGAGCCCCACATTGGGCTCCCTGCTCCGTGGGAAGCCTGCTTCTCCCTCTCCCACTCCCCCTGCTTGTGTTCCCTCTCTCACTGTCTCTCTGTCAAATAAAACAAACAAACAAAACAAAAACAAATGTCTCAGGCATTTTTAATACCTTGTAAGAACTTTTGAATGTTTGAGTAAGTAAATAAATACCCAAAAGAATATATTTGTCTTAAATTGTCATTATCAACTTTTCACTTCTGAGTTCATAGGTATAATTTATGAACTTATGAATTAACAGATATTTTCATTTAGATGATAATGCGAAAATTACATCCAGCTGAACCTTAGCACAGCATACCTAAGAATATATACATATATTTATGATTTACTTATATGTACACATTTATTTCTATTTATTTACATACATATTCCTCTGAACTTTAATTTACCCTTATGTGTGTATATAATAGACACAAAGATTGACAGTTTCTATTGAATAAAAAATTCTATAAAATATACTCAAATCCCTATTCATTTAGTAGTCAAATAGTTTAATCAAGTTTATCTCTTTGTAAACTCAATAGGCATTCACATAATGTTAAATATTCTTAAATTTGGGGTTTTGCCCCCAAATACTGTATTATTTGTTAAAAACAAACAAAAGACTTCCCAGGCACTGGCACTCAGACTGTAGGACCCATATCAATATTAAGGTCCTATTCAGTCCTGATTGTATATCAATTTTGAAGTATTTTTGGTGTTTATAGAAGTCACAACTCTTCAGAATCAATTGCTAAAAGCAGCAAGTACTCTTTGAATTCCTTTCTGAACTGTCACATCACTGACTTGGTTTGAGCAAGATTAAACAACTTGAAAAGCTAATATACATCACACTTCATCTTCCTCCTGGGCCAACTAATATAATACTACTTTTTACCTCCCTCCATTCAAAGCACCAATAGTCAGGCAGTTCTCTTTCCAAAGAAACCAAAAAAACAGAGCTTTAAAAAGTAAAGTAAGTACGGGCGCCTGGGTGGCTCAGTTGGTTGAGCGTCACCTTCAGCTCAGGTCATGACCCCAGGGTCCTGGGATGGAGTCCCGCATCGGGCTCCCTGCTCAGCGGGAAGCCTGCTTCTCCCTCTGCCTGCCGCTCCCCCTGCTTGTGCTCTCTCTCAAAAATAAATAAATATATTTTTTAAAAAGTTAAAGAAAAAGGGGCACCTGGGTGGCTCAGTCGTTAGGCATCTGCCTTCGGCTCAGGTCATGATCCCAGGGTCCTGGGATCGAGCCCCGCATCGGGCTCCCTGCTCCGCGGGAAGCCTGCTTCTCCCTCTCCCACTCCCCCTGCTTGTGTTCCCTCTCTTGCTGTCTCTCTCTCTGTCAAATAAATAAATAAAAATCTTAAAAAAAAAAGTTAAAGAAAAAAGTAAAGTACTCAGAGCATCATCAATACAAAATTATACAAACACGGCAAATTTTATTTAAAACATTTTTGAGTGCTTTCAAATGTAGTTTCCTAAGAAGGGAGTAAGTGTATATATTCTATTAAGCTCTAATGCTTCAGGAAACCACAAAACAATCCTTTTATCAGCTGAGCCAGCTACTGATCATATTGACGGGATTAGAAGCCATGACTAGGAGACTGAAACAATGAGCATTTGTGACCAGCTACAGGAACACAGCAAACCCAGAGACGTATGCATTCCCTGGGAACCGGTGCTTCAGACAGAGCCAGTAGTCTGACGTCAGGAGGGCCATCGTGAGTTATGAAGCACACATCTGCAGTGGTTCAAAGCAAGTCTTGAATCACATAGAAAACAAAGGCCAAAGCAAGGCACAGCATTAAGAATCAAGACAAGAATTCAGAAGCATATATATGGCGCATCACAATGTCCTGCCCATTGGTCATCTGAGCGCATCTAGTTGCAACAAGCATAATGTGTAGTAGCTGCAGGTCAATCAGTCCCAGCCATTCCTTCCACCATAGTGGCCTCCCAGAGACTGGGAATTAAACATGCCATTCGTCTTCACCACTCTCCATCGGTTGGGGCTTCAGGAGAAAAACCAGACTGCTTATAGACTAAATAAAGAACTTATATTTTCTCTTTGTGTCTGAGTTGTAGTGTGAGTTAAATATCCACCCTGCTACATTAGCTATTGGCTGGACTTCAAGCAGAATCAAAGGGCAAAGAGAGTCTGAAATTAGGCATGGAAATGTCTAGCTAGCCAGAGAAGTACAAGGAGACTAAATGAAGCACACATACACACCCCTTTTTTCTTTTTTTACAGCTTTATTGACATAACATTCACATACTGTATAATTTACCCGTTTAAAGTATATAATCCAATGGCCTTTAGTATGTTCACAGACTTGTACATCCATTACCACAATCAATTTTAGAACACTTTCATTACCCCAAAGAGAAGACCCCCACAGCCCCACCCCATGCCATCACTCTGGGCAACCACTAATCTACTTTCTGTCACTATGGATTTGCCTATTTGGAAATCTCATATAAAGAGAATCATAAATATGTGGTCCTTTATGACTGGTTTCTTTCACTTAGCATGTTTTCAACATTCATTCATGTTATGTCATGGATATATCGGTACTTCATTCCTTTTAATTGTTGAATAATAGTACATTTAGTGGATTTACCACATTTTACTTATCCATTCATCAGCTAATGGACATTTAGGTTGTTTCTATTCTTTGGCTGTTATGAATAATGCTGCATGAACATTCATGTGCAAGCTCCTGTGTGGACAAATGTTTTCATTTCTCTTGGGTGTACCTATAAGTGGAGTTGCTGGATCATATGGTAACTCTGTGTTTAACTATTTGAAGAATTACCAGACTGTTTTCTAAAGCGGCTGCACCATTTTCCATTCCCATCAGCAGTGTATGAGGGTTCCAATTTCTCCACATTCTTGCCAGTTAGTTGTTATTATCTGTCTTTGTCATTATGACATCCCACCTCCTATTTAAAAATCTCAAACAGATCTTCCGGATCCTTGGATCTAGAAACTGAACCAGTTTCTTGGTTAGCAAAGCCCACCTACAAAAAGCAAAATTCTTGGGTGCCTGGGTGGCTCAGCCCGTTAAATGTCTGACTCTTGATCTGCACTCAGGTGTAGACCTCAGGGTTGTGAGTTCAAGCCCCACGTTAGGCTCCATGTTGGGCTTCATGCTGGGCATGGAGCCTACTTTAAAAAGAACAGCCAAAATTCTGAGCACACACATGCCTAATGAGCAAGCAGGAAGAAAAGGCCATAGGGGACCCAGGGGACCCAGTCCCTTCTGACTATAAACACAAAGGAGGCCTGGATTGAGATTGCTTCTGATTGAACTTGTTTGAGGCATGGCTAGGACACGATATGTAGGTGAAAGAAGATGAGCAAAGGTTGGGACTTCACTTGACAATTCAATGGAGAGGGGAATATGGGGACATTGCTAAACTCAGACTATTATCTTCTCTCCTCCATTCCTACTTGGTATCTTCCCACATACTAAAAACCTTGGGGATCTCCTCTACTTTTAAAGTTCTATGATTACATGACTTTATTCCTGTTAAGTACAATTTAAATGGATCATGCAATGTATGTCTTTTAAAAAGAGAAGGCTTTATCTTAATGAGATTCAGTTTAAGTGTTCTTAATGTTTTTAAAAAATATTTTTACTTTTTGTACACCTGAAACTAACATATTATTGTATGTCAACTATACTTCGATTAAAAAAATTTACTTTTAATGTTTCCTGAAGCTTGTTGAAATATTATAACTCTATCCATAGCATTAGTGTTTCCTAGAAGTCACTAAAAATTCCTATAGTGTACCTAAGAAAAAAGGTGAATATAGTTAAAAGGGAAAAAATACATTTATTCCTTGGAAAGTACACTGATTACTATTTAGCCAGTTAGAGAATTGTGTTCTTTCACCCTTGAGAATTGTGCCATGGAGTCAATTAATTTCTTCGAATTGCAATATAATGACCACATCTGAAAATACAGGAAAAAATGAAATAGAAGGATGGAGGATTCAAAATAAGGAGAGCCATTGCCAAACAAAATACCAACCAACCAAATTAGAAGATATTACACATGCTCTTCCTTATTTAACATGGAAGGAAACTGCAATTATTATTTGGTTAATAAGGCACTTCCTGGGCCCTAAAGTTACTAGTTCTTCACTTCAACATACATTTTGTTGTGCAACTGCTGTGAGCCGGAAACCTTGTTAACTGCCAAAAATAAATAAGAGAGTCTCTGCTGGGAAAAGGCAACACAGGGCTTGGCCTCTGCCAGGCAGATGCAAACACACTATCCAGCTGCAATCCATTCATTCTATTACAATAGGAAAGAAGGAGAGTGGAAATGGTGAAAAGGAGTGATTTACACCTAAACTGGGGAAGGAAGGGAAAGAGGAGAGGGAGGACAAAGGAATAGGGGCGTAGGGAACATGACCAGTGAACCTGGCTTTATAAGGAGTGGGAAGGATTTCACCAAGCAGGGAGAGACAAGACATTTGTGAAAACATTCTAGTGGGAAAGCAAATATTTTGGAGACTTATAAGGTTTAACCATAAGAAAATGTCAATAGTCAACCACTTGTGGCCTATAAAAATAGCACATTCACATAGTTCCAACTTATACAAAACAAAATAATCCCCATGGATGTGTAGGGTGAATGTTTAGGACTTGCAGGAGAATTAGTTAGAAAAGAAGTTGGGGTCAGAGTAGGAAGAGCCTTGAATCGCCTTCTAAGGTTTCAACTTTATCCCATAGGTGATGGAGCAGTCAATTCACAAAAGAACTTTTGACAAATGATCAATAAATGTATTTATTTTTTAAAAAAAAGATTTTATTGGGCGCCTGGGTGGCTCAGTTGGTTAAGTGACTGCCTTCGGCTCAGGTCATGATCCTGGAGTCCCGGGATCGAGTCCCGCATCAGGCTCCCTGCTCGGCAGGGAGCCTGCTTCTGCCTCTGACCCTCCCCCCTCTCATGTGCTCTCTCGCTCTCATTCTCTGTCTCAAATAAATAAATAAAAAAAATCTTAAAAAAAAAAGATTTTATTTATTTGTCAGAGCGAGAGAGAAAGAGAGAGAGATACCACAAGCAGGGAGAGTGGCAGGCAGAGGGAGAAGCAGGCTTCCCGCCAAGCAGGTACCTGGGATCATGACCTGAGCCGAAGGCAGACGCTTAACCAACTGAGTCATCCAGGCTCCCCCAATAAATTTATTTTTAATGTCCAAAGAATTTTAGGCTTCAATGAAAACTATATATCATTTTCAATACCACAAAGAAAAAAAATTTTAACGATAATATTCAATGCTATTAAGGACTCAGGGAAACAGGATGCTCTCATACACTGCTGTGTGCATACACTGGAATAATCTTGCTGGAAGACAATCAGAATACCCTTTGACTAAGCATTCTAGGACTTTATCCCAAAGAGAGTCATGGATATTAGAAAAAAAAAAAAAGTTTAGCCACCAAGATATTCTTAATGTCCCACAACAGCAAGTTGGTTAAACCAATCAGGAATCATCCTTACAACTTAACACTATGTAGCTACTTTAAATATTTAGATGAATATTTAGTAACATGGAAGTGCTCATGAACTTTTGCTATATGAAAAAATTAGGTTAGAAAACAGTCCACGTGTCAGGCAGGACTCTGAAGAACTAGGTCAGCTGACCACGTTTGAATTTCAGGGCCCCCATTTAAAGTCGTGTAGACCTTGAGCAAGTAACCTAGCCTCTCTGTAACTCAGTTTCAACATCTGCAAACTGGGGATAATACCAGCACGTGCAGGATAAGTTGTAAAAATTAAATGAGTTAATATACACAGAGCATACTTCATACATAAATATATTTTGAAATTTGCCTGGCATATAATAAGCACTAAGAGTTGGCTTTGGCTGTTGTTAATATTGTTAGTATTTGTTGCCAGTAAGTTAAGTCAACTTTTAAGCTAATTTAAGGAGTAAAGGTGGAAAGACAAACCACTGGGCAAGAACCACACCCAAAGCACTCCGAAAAACTGGTCCTGTGAAGTTATGACTGCGGCCGCCAAGCACCAACCTCGTGATCTGCAATGCCAAGTCCTTGGATGCTGGACACCGCACCCTGCCACAGAAGAGCTGTCTCTCCTGCCACTGGAAACCGGATGCAGCTGCCACTGCTGCTGTGCCCTGGCCAGAACAGATTCTGCGTCATCCCTGCGGCTTTGAGTCACTAGCTCTTGAATCAAAGTCGAGAGAGGATGCATCTGCTTGGCTGCACCAGGTCCCAAGTTCCCAGATGTAAGAGAGGTCAAGAAAAGCAGCAGTGAGCACTTTTATCATATAGAGAAGGTAGATTCTACTTTGTAAGACAAGGTCAACACACTTAGCAAATGCATTCATCGAGCAACTAAAGAGAGAATAAATGACCCCTCTATGGTTTTAAAAATATAAATAAAGCCTGAATATATTTATATGCAAAGAAATAAAGGACTAAAAGGATATATCTTAAGTGTTAATGATTGTGAATTGACCATTAGGGCTGATTTGAAATTTTTTTAAAGATTTTATTTATTTATTTGACAGACAGAGAGAGAGAGAGAGAGAACAAGCCCGGGGAGCAGCAGAGGGAGAGGGAGAAACAGACTCCCCACTGAGCAGGGAGCCTGATGTGGGGCTCGATCCCGGGACCCCAGGATAATGATCTGAGCCGAAGGCAGACGCTTAACTGACTGAGCCACCAACGTGCCCCAGCTGATTGAATTTTTTATCTTCTGTCTCTGTAACTTTCCAAATCTTCTATGACATAGAAAAGACGTTTTTCTCTTTTAAAGCAAGACTAGGCAAAATCAGATCTCTATTTTGAAAGAGAATTAAGTACTTCTTAGATATGACCATGGGCTGGGAAGTGAAAGACTATGTTCAAATGGCCATTGTTAGCCGATAGCAGGCCTCTGCTACTCAAAATGTGGTGAACAGACCAACATCAGCTTGACTCAGAAGCATATTAGAAATGCAGAATCTCAGGCCACATTCCTGATCTACTTAAAGCAAAGAAGAGAATGAATCAAGAGATACTTTAGAAATATAAGCAAGAAGGGTTGACAACTGACAATGTGGAAAAACTCATAAACAATTACAAACCTTAGAAACACTTCCAAACTTGGAAGAAGGCAAAGCTATTAACAGAAATGGATGGACTGGAACCAGTTTTAAAGGAAAAGAGATAAATGTAGTTGTAGATCTGTAAGGTTTGAGACCTTGAAAGGTGGCCAGATGGATATGCCCAGTCTGGGACATGCAGAACTGAAAGCCAATAAGAAATATCAAGATTGGGTTTACAAATTAAGAGTCATCTAAGAAAAGGAGCTAACAAAAGCCATAAAAGTGGTTAAGAATATGCAAAGCAAGAGAAGAAATCCAAGCAAGATCCTCTGGGGATATCTATATTTTGGAAACAGTGAGAAAGAGAAGCCAGAAAATGGGTTGCCAAAACTAAGATCATCAAGAGATTAGTGTCAAAGAAAGCAAAGGACAGACGTTTCATTATTATTCAATTCTTTCCTCCTTTCCCAACAAACTAGGAGTGGTTTATACAGTTATACTTAGACTATAAACAGGACAGTGATGGATTAATCATCTTAATTCTTGAGATATAAAATGGCCAAAATATTAGGAGGGGGGTAGAAGAGGAAAACATTGATACCTTGGATGTCTCGTCATCAGAAAAGATCCAAAGTTTTCTGGCTTTTGAAAAAGTTTTGATGAAAATTTTACAATTTTTACCATGTTGCAAATCACATAAGGCCATATCTTATCTTTGTTTCATTCATTCATTCATTCATTCATTCAGCAAACATTTATTGAACACTTACTATGAGGATACAGTAGTTAACAAAACAAACAAAACCCTTTGCCCTCATGGTGCTTCCATTCTGGAGGGGAGGCAGATAATGAACAGAAGAAACAAATAAACATATTGTATGTTAGACGGTGATAAGCATTATGGAAGGAAGGGTTGTAGGAGTGGGGTAAGAGGTGCAAGTTTAGAGGAGGCAAAAGGGAAGACCCCCCTGAAGAGATGAACAGACCTGAAGGAGGTGAGGAAGCTACTCCTGCAGATACCTGAGGGAAGCACATTCCAGGGCAAAGCTGAACTGAACCTTGTGTGGTCTAGGAGGCCAGTGTGGCTGGACGGAGGGAGTGAGGGGGTGGGCAGGAAAAGAAGACTGGGTAGGTAAAGGCCATCGGAGGTTTTTGAGGATATAAATGATATTATCGGACTTAGATTTTAACAGAATCATTCTGTCTGCTATTTTAAGAACATACTGACATAGGAAAAGCAGATGGGTGGCTATTGTAAATACCCAGGCAAGAATAACGGTGACTTGGACCAGATACCTTTGACAGTTTTCTCTCTTTTCAGATAACTACCTTTTTATCCTTTTAATATATCATACTAAAGTGAGTGGGAGGAGGAAGGAGAGACTATGTATGTAGCAGAGAAAGGAATACAAATCTCTCAATTCTTCTAGTTACATAAATCTAGGTATTTTCACATTTATCTTCAGCCACCCAGACCAAAATGTGTAAGCAACTTAAATACTTAAATTTTATGTAAATATTTAATATGTTTAAATAGTATGTTTGAATCCTCTATATTACTACAGCTTCAAGGAAATGTTTAAAAAAAACATTAAAAACCATTATCATCACCATGTCAATAAATTTATATTTAGGCCAAGGTAACAATAAAAGAACCTGATAATTTATTTTAAAGACATGAGCAATATTTTTGAAACACAGAGTCACTGAATAATGACTAGTTCTGAAAGGTGTAATTTTAAACCTTCCACTCTTTCAATGCTATAATTAAAACAAAAATGAAAGTGAGATCAGAGAGTACACACACAGACCTGGGTCACACTGGGACATGTAATTTGCTTTTTCTGTGGATATGAGACCAAAGGCTCCATTTATTTGCTAAAGATTTAAAAGGATAAACTGCTTATTTCTTATTTTAGAATACAAAGGCAACTAAGTCAAGTTCAATATTGATTGAGAGAAAAGAGTTGTCAACACTATTAATATGACCCTGGCTCTGCAGTGGCTTACTGTTTACAAAGCACTTTCACTGCCATTATCTCATTTGAGCCTCACAATAGACCCATTAATATAATTGTTCTTAATTTATAGACTCAGAGAGCTTCCCTGACTTACCCAAAGGCACTCAACTATCTAGCAAGTGCCAGAGCTGGAAATAGAACCCTAACTTCCCAGACTACAGCTCTTTGTACTATGTCAACCTGTGTTCTTTTCCAGATACAGAAATTTGGGAATGTTTTTCTCCTGCAGGAATTATCCTGGTCAGCAAGACCAAAGGTGGAGAGCAGTACCTTGGGTAAGGTACCAGGGTGGGAAGAGCAGTCTTACGGTAAATTCTATCATCCTCATTTAATGTTAGAAAAAACAAGGAACAGAGCCTTGCTAAGTCAAACACTGGCTCTTCAATTACTCAGGGGCTGGTGTCATTTGGGCTTACCTGGTCTTTTGCACTATTTCTATTTCCGTTATGGCTTGCTTGATCTCCTGGCCTGCTCTTTAACACCTCCACCAGAGGGCAGGCAGGGCAGGAAGAAGAGCATTGGTAACTGGTTTGCTCAAAAAGTTGGAAGAAAACTTAGGACATTATCTTAATTTAGATTTTTAGAGTCTTGCTAGATTACTCATGCAAAATTTGCCACTTTTCTCCTATGTGGACCTGGAATATTCAGTGCAGTAAAATGATTTCAGAACTAGAGAATAGAGGTTTGTTATACTTCTTTATATTTCCACTACTGGTTTTTCTAAATGATAAATGTTAAATGTTAAATCTTTAACAAATAGAACACTTAAAACCATTTGGGGAAATAGATGGGCAATGAACAAGAACAATTCACAGAAGAAGAAATGCAACTGGCAATGAACATGGAAAAATGTTCCACTTCACAGGCAATTAAAGAGATAATATTTGAAACAAGAAACTGCCATCCTTCATCTGTCAAATTAATCAATATTAAAAACGAAAATTATTGGTAAGGGTGTGGTGAGATGGGCATTTTCATATACTGTTAGTGGAAAAGTAAATCGGTACCATCTTTCTGGAGAGAAATCTAACCATTTAGACAGATTAAGCCTGGCAGAAGAAAATCAGAGTAATTTCCTACTACCCAAGCTGGAACTAAAATCTGGTGCTTTTTCCTCTAATCAAGTGAGCCCTTACATGGAAAATACAGACTTATGATACACGATAGAAAGAAAAACAAGCGTTGTGCCACCACCTCCCCGCCGCAGACTCAGTGAGAGGGAAAGAAGAGGGTCCCTACCCCAGGAGAGAGTAAGGGCTCTAACTCTTACCGCCCCAGGGAAGAGGCAGAGCTCTGGCAGTGGAGAGAACTGGGAGCATCTGAAAGCCTGTGGGTCTCCCAAGATCACAGGATTTGCCTCATCCCCACAGGAGAGAAAAATACTGCTTTCTGCAGGTTTCAGCGGCTGTAACACATCACACTGACCCACATCCTACCTATGCCAGGCTGTACTAGACAGACAGAGCCAGAGGGCTCTGACGTTTATGGGACTATTGAGTTATATTTGTATATCTTTTCAATAATGGTCAGGCATGCTTGCACTGGATCAGCCATGCACCCTCAATTACGCTGCTATAAGACTTGCAGGTCAGGGGTGCCTGAGTGGCTCAGTCGGTTAAGCCTCTGCCTTTGGCTCAGGTCATGATCCCAGAGTCCTGGGATCGAGCCCCATGTCTGGCTCTTTGCTCAGCGGGAAGCCTGCTTCTCCCTCTGCCTGTCACACCCTCTGCGTGTGCGCGCGCTCTCTCTCTGTCAAACAAATAAAATCTTAAAAACAAAACAAACAAACAAACCAATTTAGGAATTGCCCCTAAATTCAAACTACTGGACTGTTAATAGACTTGCTCAATCTTGCTTATAACTTAACATCTACTAGCTCCAGCTAATTTAAGAGATAGCCTAATGGTGAAAAGGAGAAAGAGTCTCACTGTAA